AATGAGCCTTCCCTCTCCCCACCTCCATCAATGAGCCTTCCCTCTCCCCACCTCCTTTAATGAGCCTTCCCTCCCCGCAATCATCAATGAGCCTTACCTCTCCTCACTTCCATCAATGAGCCTTCCTTCACCACCTCCATCAATGAGCCTTCCCTCTTCCCACCTCCATCAATGAGCCTTTATTCCACACCTTAATCAATGAGCCTTCCCTCCCCACATCCATCAATGAGCCTTCCCTCCCCACATCCATCAATGAGCCTTCCCTCCCCCCACCTCCATCAATGATCCTTCCCTCTCCTCACTTCCATCAATGATCCTTCCCTCCCCACCTCCATCAATGAGCCTTCCCTCCCCACCTCCATCAATGAGCCTTCCCTCCCCACCTCCATCAATGAGCCTTCCCTGCCCACCTCCATCAATGAGCCTTCCCTCCTCATCTCCATCAATAAGCCTTCCCTCTCCCCACCTCCATCAATGAGCCTTCCCTCCCCACCTCCATCAATGATCCTTCCCTCTCCTCACTTCCATCAATGAGCCTTCCTTCCCCACCTCCATCAATGATCCTTCCCTCTCCTCACTTCCATCAATGAGCCTTCCCTCCCCACCTCCATCATTGAGCCTTGGCTGCCCATGACCCTGTCACCATTTGGCCGGTTTTCCTTCCTTGTACCACTTTGGTCGGTCCTGACCCCTCTGAGGAATGCCGATTACTGGCTCTACTCTCCTCTCCTCTGTCATCGTAACAGCTCGAGAGGAGAGAAATCCTGATAACCGGCATTTCCCTGTTTGCATGTGATCAGCTGTGATTGGACACAGCTGATCACATGACCGAGCCGACATCTTTGGCTCTTTCCGTGATCGGTGATCCACTGTGTCCGAGGCATGCGCGGTGAGAATGGAGGACGTCATATGACGTCTTCCCAGAACAAGAGAACCACCCCCCGCCCCTCATATTACTATTTGGGTGGAACGTGGTTAAAGAGATTTTGGAAACGTATTTTTAAAAATATGTTTCATATATTTTGTAATAAAAACGCATTTCAGCATACAGTGTGTATGTATTATTTTATTTTTTATATATATTTATTTATTTATTGAAATATATATTTTGCAATATATTGAATACGGTCAACATATTTCAAATGTATTTTTCTTCCATGTGGGTGTCTATTTACAGGGTGGGGCGGGGAGGAAACCTGTAAGTGTTACTGGACACCGGCAGAGAAAAATCAGGTCTGGTGTCTGGTATGACAGAGCCGTATAATTTTCAGAACTGGATGGACAGAAATACAAATCCTTTACGCGGTACTTTCATATGTATTTTTTCTGCTTATGTAGCTGTTTTTGATTTGAGAGTCCGATATTATAAAATCAAACAATTAATGACTTTTTACATTCGAATGACTCTGCATGTCACACAAATACTCCATGACCAAGAAGAGTGGAATTAAAGTGAGGCCTTTACCTCTCAGCTGCCTAAAACCTACTTTTTGGCTGAAGTTAGCAGATTCATGAGATTAATAGTAACTCCGCCTTTGTTGAGAAAACAACGTTCCCCTCGGGGTGATCTACAGTATGTACATTGCAGGGATTATAACAAATACTTTGTTGCAGATTCCCGTTTCTGCCCCGAAGAACCAGTTGTTGGGTTATGTCAGAAGTGTAACAAGAACCTTCAGGGCTCCGCTGGAAGAAACCATGAAAGGCCCCTCTGACCCAAGGCTGGGGTCCTTCCCTCCAGGCACGGGGCCCTTCCCTCTGATCTCAGGGCCCTTTGCTCACGTTGTGGGACCCTTTATTACGGCTCCCCCCCCTCATGGTGGTAGAATGCTAGGGTCCAGTTGCAAATGTGACCTTTGCGACCTTGGTAGTTCTGCTGCTGGTGTCGGTTGTTTTTTATTTTTGTTATTTTTTTGCTATTATTTTTTATCACTTTATTATTTTTTTTTTTTACAATTTCCTTTTTTATACTTTTTTTTTTAGGAGCCCGTTGAGTGGCTTTGGTGAAAGGTCTAAGCAGACCTCTGATGTGCCACCTTTGAGACAGAGAATTGAGGACAAATAGTGGGAGAGGAAAGGGGGGAATCATGCAGTGCTGCGGGGGAAGGGGTGGTGCTGGAGAGCACACAGGTGGCAGCAGGACCTGGATAGGAGGGGTGGAAGGCAGCATATAGAAGAATCAATCCCCTCCATTTTCCTCCTGCAGCCACTGAATGCCTGTGGGAGGGAGAGGAGGGGGGCTTTCTGCGGCTGCAGGAGGAAAATGGAGGGAATTGGTTCCTCTATATGCCAGCACCCCCCCTATGCAAATGTACAGAGGAGCCGCCTGGGCCCCCTGAAGCTTGGGACCGGGTCGCAAATTGTGACCCCTGTGAGCCCTGTAGATACACCCCTGGGCTATGTCAATGTGTAGAGGAAATTTGAACAGGAGTGACTTTTTCATTATTAATCAGCTGATGCCATTGCAGTGTTTTAAATGTTGCAGGGTCTGCATCGCTTTAGAGGTAATTAACCCTTTAGGCGTATCTCACCAAAACTGAAAATTCTGTTGCAGAAGATGCCTAAAATCTGACTTATACATTAGAGCAGACTTCTGGAAAAACCAATGAGCCAATCAAATGTAGTGCCCACCCCCACAAGGGCCACTGAGTTGTGTCCCAGGTTCTTCTCACAATAGTGCAGCAGCAGCAGCCAATCAAACGGCAACATTTACTCCACAGCCTTTGTAAACAGTCTAGGGGTTTCCTTGTCAAAGTTTATTTCACATCGGCGTGGGTGGGGCTTAGGGGAGCTGTGGGCTACTCCAGAACACTAAGCAGGAATGGAAGGATACTCTTCCCTTTGCAGCTGCTTCTCACCACAGTCCTCTGAGCAGAAGAACATGAAATGGACAGCGCTGGGGCACCATCAGTAGTGCCGAAGGCCAGTCAAGCCTTGATGATAGTGCATCAGGGGTTAACAGCAGGGATCCCTCTCCCAGCTCTGTACACATGGGGTCCCTGGGACTTGGATGTCTCCCTCCAAGCTCAGGCAGACAGTCCGGATCCTCAGTGAAACCCCTTAATCCAGCTCTCAAAGTATTATCAGCAGTATAGGCCCCCCAGCTACGCACAACTAGGAAGGATCTTCAGCTTGGCTGCCAGGTTGGACAACAGCCCTTCTTGGTTGGGAACCTCTTCACCTGGGGAAGAACCTTGCTCTCTGAGGCTCCAAACTATTTATACACTCCCCAACCACCATCTGGGCAAACCTCCCTAGGGATTGGCTGGAGCTACATAAATATTCAGGCTGCTCATTTGACTCGCAGCCTGCAGAGCCCAGAGCAGCTATCAGGTACCTGGTGATGGAGGCCAATGAAGAGAGGGCTTTCCTTGCGGCTAAGTTCCGGACTCCCCTGAGAGTGGGACAGCGGGAGTCAGGCCCAAAGTGGTACAGGTCAGCTGTAGGAGTGCTGGTTGGTGGTCCACTCAGAAGCACAGCTGGTGCACGGAGATAGGTCTGCAGACAGGAGGCGCCTGTGCGTGGTATGCAAGCCCTTCCGGGATTTGGATGTTCACTGGGTAGTCGGTTCAAGCCAAGGTCAGGTACCAGGTGGGAATTAGAGCAGACGTAGTCAGATGGGATAGCCGAGGTCATACACAGAGGAGCGAGAGAGAGAGAGAGAGAGAGAATCCATAAGCCAGGCCGAGGTCAGATCAGGGGTAAGGCAGAGTAGACAGGTCCAGGAGCAAGCCGAGTCGGTATCAGGAAGTCACAGGTCACAATCACAGGAACCAGGAACAGGGCACGGGGAGCTAGAGATCATCCAGCAACTTGAATAAGTGATGAGCCTCCTTATAAAGGCCGTCTGGCACCAGACTGAGGCTGATGTGTACTTCTGCGGCCATGTAGAGTACTGGCAGAAATGCCAGATCTTCCAGAACTTCTGCCGTGGACAGGACCCTGACAGCAGCCCAAAGTAATCAGATGAGGCTCTGCTGATAACGGGAAAACCACAAGAACTAACTTTGCCTAACCAAGCCTAGCAGCCTGTCTGAGAGGGTGCTACACACACACAATGACCTTTCTGGGGGCGTCCTGTATGCTGAAGGTGTAAAGAACACCTCCGGGATGTCATAGAGCAGTGAGTTTGAACAGAAAATTGCAGCTGCTGCAGATTGGAACGAAATGGGAATTGTGAAATACATTACAATGTGGCGATTTGTACAATTGTATACGTTATATTGTCTTTTATTTTATATTTGCTTTATTTGTTTCCATAAAAGTGGAGTTACCCGTTAATGTACAGGAAAGCTAAACTGGACCTCAGTGACAAGCACAAGGCCTGTGGTCACACACACCAGGATCCGGTCTGCAGGGTACGGGATATACTGTTGTGCTCAAACGTTTTCCCCCCTTGGTAGAAATTGTGAAATGTTGGCATTGATAGTGAAAATATGAGTGATGGTGCAAAAATGGCAATGCCACACAAAGCCCGGCTACAATACTCCAAACAACACACTGACATTCCTCACCGGGCTTCTATGTGGCATTGGCTTCTCTCTGGCAACTCCACCATGCAGCTCATTTTTGTTCAAGTATTGTCATTTTGGACTCCTTAAAACAACCACGCCGTCTTTCTCCCAAGCTGGCCTGTGGGGGGTTTTCTTTGTATTCCGAACAATTCTTCTGTCAGTTGTGGCTGCAACTTTCTTGGTCTACATGACATTGGCTTTGGTATCAAGAAATCCCAGAATTTTCCCACTTCTTAACCCCTCGCCTACCAGGCACTGTCACCCCCTTCCTGCCCAGTCCAATTTTTTCGGCGCTGTTGCACTTTGAATGACAGTTGTGCGGTCATGCAACACTGTGACATCAAGCTTTCTTTTGATGATATTTGATCACCACTGGGGGGGGGGGGATATTTTTTGCACTATAAACAAAGAAAGAGCAAAAAATGTGAAGAAAAAAAAAGTTTTTCTTTGTTTCTAGTATACAATTTTGCACACAGTTAATTTTTCTCCTTCACTGATGTGCATTGATGAGGCTGCATTGATAGGTAGCACTGATGGACACTGATAGGCAGCACTGATGGGCACTGATGAGGTAGCGCAGATAGGCAGAACTGATGGGCATTGATAGGCTGCATTGAGGAGGTGGCACTGATGGGACGGCACTGGTGGGCATTGATGAGGAGGCACTGATATGCAGCAATGATGGGCACTGATAGGCAGCACTGATGGACACTGATAGGCAGCACTGATGGGCACTGATGAGGTAGCGCAGATAGGCAGAACTGATGGGCATTGATAGGCTGCATTGAGGAGGTGGCACTCTTGGGACGGCACAGGTGGGCATTGATGAGGAGGCACTGATATGCAGCAATGATGGGCACTGATAGGCAGCACTGATGGGCCCTGATGGGCGGCACTGATGGGCAGTGCTGACTGGAGGTACTGACGGCACTGACTGACGGCACTGCTGGGTGCGACTACTGGGCAGCACTGATGGGTGGCACTGCTGGGCACTGATCATCAAGGCACTGATCATCAGTGCCCTGATGATCGGTGCAGATGTCCTCTGTGCCATTTGCTGGTTATTGGCAGTACTTTCCTCACGCTGTGACAGTGTAAGGAAAGTGCTGCCGATAACCGGCAACTGTACCTACATTGTGATCTGCTGTGTCATTGGACATGGCTGATCACGTGGTAAAAAGGTGCTGTGATTGGCCTTTTTACCTCATCATGTGATCAGCTGTGTTCTTAGGACCCAGCAATCATGGACAGTGCCGAGTGCGCGCCACGGGGGGTACGCAGGAGGGCATGTTCTGGGAGGATGACGCATTCCCAGAACTTGACAACTGCGTTGTAGCCGTCATTTGGCTATAGCACGGTTGGCAAGTGGTTAACAACTGATTGAACAGGACTGACTGGCATATTCAAGGCTTTGGATATCTCTTTATATCCTTTTCCACTACCTTGTTACGCAGGTCTTTTAACAGTTCTTTTCTGCTCCCCATGGCTCAGACCTGCTCAGTGCATCTATGTGGGAGCTAACAAGCTCACTGACTACACAGGCACTGATTTGCAATCTAAAAAGCCATAGATGTGGGAAATTACCCTTTAATTGCCACTGTGCCCTGTGTGTCCCTGTAAGGGACCGCCTGGCGGTACCACTAGCACTCCACTGATTAGGCGTCCCCAGAGCGTGGAATTTAAGCCCCAGAGTACTTGTTCACCAGAGCCCCTGATGGTGGGGATGGACTTGGAGTACCCTGAGACCAGGTCGTGGCTCCTGAGTATACCTGTCAGTGGTAGGGGTATTCGCCAGGGGCTCCCACGGGGAAGAACCTGATGTGAGGAGGTCGGGAGACCCCGGTGGGATGGATGGATGGACGGATGAGCAGATGCAAGGTCAGACAAGCCGGGTCGGTAACAGTGGGGTCGGTGCGGTACAAAGCAGCGGGCAGAGAATAGTCGGGTCACACGCCAGGTGTCAGGGCAGGGCCGAGGAACGGACAGGCAGGCCTAACAATGTAACGCACTGGCTGACGACAACCACCACCCACAGACCGAAGTCCCTCAGGGCGCGGAGTCTAAGTCCCAGGCTGCCCTTCACCAGGGCCCCTGATGGTGGGGATGGACTTGACGCAACCAGAAACCAGGTCGCGGCCCCCGAGACACCTCAGCTGCGGTAATGGCCGCCGCCAATGGCGTGTAGCTGGTGGAAAAGACAAAAGAGTAGTCAGACAAGCCAGGTCAACAACAACAGGACAAAACAGTACAGGACAGCAGACGAAAATCACAGGTCACGAGCCGGGTTCAGCAACAGAGGGTCAGATCAAAGGAGAATACAAAGAATAGTCGAGTCACAAGCCGAATCAGATACCAGGAGAGTCACGAGAGTCAGAACAGAGTAATAGCAATACAAAGACACAAGACACAAGTGCAAAGAGCATGTGCGGGCCACAGACTTATATGTCATCAGCCACACCCCTCTGGGGGATGGACCTCAGAGACCTGAAGGCATAAAAGGATTCCCACCATGCACAGCAGAATCCAAGATGGACGTCAGCACATGGAGTAACATAACCTCAGGGAAAAGGTAGGACCTTGACACCAGGTCAGCAACAGGAGGTCAGATCTAATAAGGGGCATCCAGGAGAGAGGTCAGGCAAGCCAGGGGTCAGGGTAGGAGAATACAGCGTGGTCAGGTCCAATCCGGGTCAGTAACTTACAGAGAACAGGATCACAGGTACAGGTATGCAGAAGAGACCAGAAGGCACTGAATGCCAGCTCAGGGCCGTTTAAATATCGCGCCCTGCGCTGTCATTGGTGCCCGGCGCGCGACCGCGGTTCCTACTGCGCATGCGCGAACCTGAATGCCGCAGTCGGCCAGATCCTGGTGCCCGCGTCCCCGCACAGAGCGGCGCACTGCGCCTGCGCCAGGACCAGCGCCACGGGGATCCCTGACAGTCTCCTTGTGTATCTGTACCAAGGCCGAACATTCCAGGGGGGGGGGGACTTTTGATCCATTTGGGGGATTTCTGTTATTAGGATTTAAAAAGTAGCCAAATAACTCTGTGATAATGAATGGCTTCCTATCAGCACAATCCTTCAATAAAAGTCAGTTTTTGGCAGATCAGTCAGATTTTAAATATCAGGCCAAAATGTCACCATTTCTGACCGGAGAAGTAAAGTTTGGAGCACAACTGTAGAATAGAGGACACTGGAGGAAGACAAACCATCTTACAGCCCGGCACGGCAGACGCCGATGTAACTGCCGGGGATTCCTTGTTCCTATCCTCACGCATTGTCTCAGGTAAGCGGTTTGTTGTATGTTGTCAGCCCCAACTCAATACTTTGGACAATGACTATTGTGCCGGTGAAAGGACGAGACGTCCACAATTCATGGGCTACAATCTGCATTGTAGAACATCATGACATCTCCATTTGTAGAGTGCGCGTTCCCTCGTAATGTCAGCGTTCTTCTCCCCCGCAGCGCTCGCTCAATAAACATTCTCCGATATCGTAGTGCTGTAATAGCAATATTATTATCATTCATGACTAATTGCGGCATCAATTAAATGGGGGATATAAATGAAGTCAGCTAATCAATACCGACTCTCCATACATCTCTCCGAGTATTAAATGAGGAACTTTTATGGTGTTTTTACAACATGCAAATTTGTCCGGAAGAAGATTGATAGAACATTTGTGAGCGTTAATGGTAAGCACAATGAATGTTAATGGCGGACGGTGATTTGGATGATGTCCTGCTAGTCCGCTATGGGGAGGATTCACAGTCCGGCATTGTCCTTCTAATTACTTCTAACAGAAGCAATCCATCCCAAAAGAAACCGTTCCGAGATTGGGATCATTTGTGGCTAGCAGACGGAGGTCAGCCGAGCCATTGGAAGCAGTTACCACTGCACAAAAAGTGCCAAAGGGCCACAGGTTGGGCACAAGGGATACAAGTCTAGAAATCTGTATTATTCGGGTGTCTATGGATGTATTGCTGTACTAATACATAAGAGGAAAAATCTGGAGTAGGCACCACCGCCTCTCCTATCTCTCAAACAGAATCTCCTCTGTGACATCCCTGAGAAGAAGGCCCTGGTTCTCATCATCAGCAGGAGGAGTGGCTGCTATGAGAAGGGTGGGGCTTAATGTTTGACTTTGCCCAAAGTCAAATGTTGCATGCAGGGGTCTCCAAACTATGGCCCTCCAGCTGTTGAAGTACTACAAGTCCCATCATGCCTGTGCCTCTAGGAGTCTTGCCTGTGGCTGTCAAAGTCTGGCAAGGCCTCATGGAACTTGCAGTTCCTCAACACCTGGAGGGCCATAGTTTGGAGAACCCTTGCATCAGAGTATTGAGGGTGTTGTGAGCAGTTAACTCAAATGCAAAGCTTGTCATCAACTGCACACCAGCCAGGGAACTGCATTTTTAGAATTTTTGGCCCACATTTATTTAAAAGCAAAAAAAAAAAAAACACTCATGCTAAATCACCATCACCACAACAGAACAGAAATTCTTCAACCTCCTGGCTATTGCAACTCTTTCCAGCTTGGACGGCACATGCTGTTGCCTAGTTACACACAAAGTTCTTCACTTTCAGGCCACAACCTGGTCAGATCTGGTCACCAGTTCTTGAGGTCTAGGTCAACACTCTCCTAATGTCTCTCTCCACACATACATACTGTCCAAGTTGGGGGTCAGGCTTGGAGACCAAGTTGGGGGTCAGGATTGGAGACCAAGTTGGGGGTCAGGATTGGAGACCAAGTTGGGGGTCAGGCTTGGAGACCAGTAGCTATAGCAGTAGAGAGGCTTCCACTGACCAGCAGGATAAGTATACAAGCAGATCACCCCGGCAGATGACATGGGCTCACCCGAGGTGCGGGGTTTCAGCACTAACTGCTATTCACCAGAGCTCCTGATGGTGGAGATGGGTTAGTACCAGTACTATGTGCTAGTACCAGGTCACGGTCCTCAGGATCATCCCACCAGGAGGTGGGCAAGCCGGGATCCAGTAGCAGATAAAGCAGGTAGGAATCAAGCAGAAGTGAGGTAGCGTACACAAGCAGAAGGTCAGTAATGAAGATACACAAAGGAGCAAGATAGTCGGTAAACAAGCCAAAGGTATCAAGTGGTTGCAGGTTCAGATTAAGCAGAAGCATAGTCGAAGAACAAGCCAAAGTTCAGTTAGGAGTAGTAATGAAGATAAGGACAGCTGCAGCTACTCAAAGGAGCAAGATATCGGCTGGAAAGAGCACAATAATCTGGCAAACAGGAAGTGCAGAGACATGGTTTAAATAGAAAGTTCATGGGAGGAGCAAAGAGTTCAAGGTTCACCAGAAACAAAAGACAAGGCAAGATTATCCAAGAGATCAGACAGGGAGCTGTCCAGCTTCTCAGGTGGCTCAGCAAAAACAGAGGTTGTGGGTTCAGATCCTGGTCCTGACAAGAGACAAGGCAAGGAAGTCCAAAGGATCAGACAGGGAGCTATCCAGCATCCCAGGTGGCTCGACGAAAACAGAGGCTGTGGGTTCAGATCCCTGTCCTGACAAGAGACAAGGCAAGGAAGTCCAAAGGATCAGACAGGGAGCTGTCCAGTATCTCAGGTGGCACAGCGAGGAGAGCTACAGCCAGATGCTGCAGACGTTGCAGGTTCAGATCTGGACCTTGAGACATGCGATGCTCCAGGAGCATCCTATCTGCAGGGAAGGAGCACTGCACCATGAACAGCCCCTTGACTATAAAGGCGATGTACACCTATAACCTGGTTTACAGTAAGATGTGGACACAGGGTTAGAAGCTCATCCCTACCAAGTCTCTGCAAAGCCTGCAGACTCCAGAACCCAATCGTACAGCAAACTGATTAGCCATCCTGGAGCCCTTCAGCCTGCACCAATGAGAAACCTGTGTGATATATACCCCGTCTGACACCATGACAAGAGAGATACTGATGGTGAGCTTCCATTACACTCTAAAATGATGTATGGTTAGCCTCGTTCTCTTGAGGGCAGGTACACTTCAACAATTCTAATGCAAATATTGTAAAAAATTAGGAATATTGTGGAGTAGACGCATCTCAGGTGGCTGAGCGAAAACAGAGGCTGTGGGTTCAGATCCCTGTCCTGACAAGAGACAAGGCAAGGAAGTC